ACTACTGATATACTATTTAACTATTTATTAGATTTCTATCCCAGTTTACCTCCAGGAACTCAAGGTGGCTAACATCCAAGCATCCCATCATTTCATCTATTCAACAATCCTGTGAGACATGCTGGGTGAATGTGACTCACCCACCATCATCCAGCGAGTTTCCCTGGCTGTGGGTCTTCTTGGTCCTAGTTTAATACTGGGTTCTTCAAATGTGGATCACAATACCCTGGGGAAGAGGGGAGGTGTCTTTGTTGCTGTTGTTAAAGCTGATCCAGCTTGTACAGGCAATGTAGGACAACTGTCAAAACTCATGCCTGCTTGGCCTGGTATCAGGGAAGTCCTACGAATTCTTCTGAAGGTTAGGGGGTTGCAGTGAAGGTTAGGGGGTTGCAGCATTCACAAAGTTTGAGAAGCGTGGCACCCTTCTGGCTCTTCTGATCACACACACTTAATAATGCAGGTTCTGCTTCTAAGCTCCTAAGGTGAATCCAAGATCTTTTCAAACCTCTCAGCGTGAGGTCAGTGATGCGGGATCTAGGAGCTTCAGCATGAACTTAGATGGTGAGGCGGGGGCGGGGGCGCAGCCCAGCTTGATCCCTTGAATGTTTTAAGAATTCACAAAGAGAACTTGACATTTCAGTCATTACGCAGTTGCCAAGTTGATGATCACTCAAGGATATTTCCAAAGCCCCAGCCTACATTTTCCTTGAGCAATCATCCACAGCCGAACATCTGTTAGCTGTCAAGAGCAGCAATGTGGTAAATGACTTAATCTGGGAAGAAATGAACTGCAGTGGTACACTTGATCTGCTCTCTGCTCATAATAAATCCTGCACTTAGTTGTAATGCTCTCCACTCTTCTCACTTCTCTTCCTTTAATTGCACACAATGCATTACAAATAAGAAAAAGATGGATTCACGTTGACTGAAAGGTTTTTAACTGATTTATATTGACAACACATATGAAAAGTTTCCCTCCCAGGGAATAAACTTATTTTTTTTTCTAGAGTGTCCTGACCTGAGGTTTGCAAGGTCTCTGACATCCAATATTTTCTTCAAGTTCTATTTACGAGTTGTTTTGCTTCCAATGTAGTTACACCAGCCCAGTTTTGAGAAGGTGCTTAAAACCTTCAGCCTTTCATTTTACAACATTAGCGCTTCTTTAACTCGTTTAACCTCCAAATACATTGATCTTTTTGAAACTAGGGGTAAGCTTTGGATTGTGTATATCACAGAAATTCATGTGATAGTTAAAGAGCTTCTTTATCCATTTACTGTTCAGCATTTCTAAATCAGAGACATCTAATTGTTCTTTGTCACCTTGAACTTCATTGATCTTCCATGGTTTCCTATATGGTTTGGCACTGAGTGACACACAGGACCATTTTCTCTATGTAGAAGCAACTTACCAACTTGTCCATTGCACCCTTGCCATTACATCTCTTCATGGTCACCCGAGTAGGGAAGAGAAGGGGGCAAGAGCATTTTCAGTTGCATCCTCCATATTATAGAAGAGCCTCCTTCTGGAAATTAGATTAGCACCTTCATTGTTGGCCCTCTGGAAGTTGTTGAAGTCAGAATTGTTCTGGAGGTCTTTGGGAGCATGCATGATCACCACTGCACCATTGCATTTGTGCCTTTAATGGTTTTTAGGTCAGGGTTCCTAGGTTTTTGATGATGTAAACCACCAGGAGTTCTTTTTTTCAGTCTGATGGTTTATAGGCATAATTAATAAATAAGTAGCCCACGTGGGCAGTGCACCAAGAAACTTGTGTAGCCCAACTCAGAAGTCACATAAAGAAAAATGGTATTACTGAAGTATTACTTAGGCTAACTGATGTGAGCTTCAGCCTTGAGCAGGAGATTTAATGAAGAACCTTATAGTTCCACTTCTGGACCATCCTGGACCAGAATCTTTATTAGCTCTTATCATTGTTCCAGTGATCTTGACTACATTGAAGAAATCTAGCAAACCGACCTCACCATATGCCTTCCATGTGTCATTGCATATTCTTAATCAAATGTGGGCGACCTGGTGAAATAGCAGCTCCCACAGGGAAATGAATTCTCTCCTGGGTGGAGAAGACACCCACATTCCAAATTCTCCACACGGATTCTTACATTTTAAAGGGGTGAGATCATAGATAGATAGATAGATAGATAGATAGATAGATAGATAGATAGATAGATAGATAGACTCTGCCCTGCGGATACCCCTGGGGCTATCCTTCTCTGGAAGATCCCAAGCTGGTAGACTCTTTGAGGAGCAACCGAGGGCGCTCAAGTTTGGAGAAATAAATGTAGAGCGAAGGATTCCTCCATCACCGCCCGTCCGCAGAAACAAGAAACAAGCATGAAGACCGACGGAGCGTGGATGCGAAGCCGCTCGGAAACGCTGCCTCGGTTCAAGCAAGCGGATGGAGAAAAGGATGAGACGGAGCGTGCATGCTGGAAAGCCGGGCGAGCGGGCGGGCGGGCGCGCTGAGCAGAAGCCCGCTGCGCGGCC